TCACATGTTTTGCTGAGTGGCCTCCTGTGTGTCTCCCTGTGGGACGCACCTGAACCTAACTTCTTTCTTGGTCGGGGCTCTCTTAGAGAGTGGCTGTCTTGGTAGGAATGAACGGGACACAGATGGGACAAGAACGATGAAGGTGCCTGCCAGGATATGCACGTTTTCTGTGTGGGGGACACAGTCGAACACTTAAGCATTAGGCTGTCAGCCTGGATAAAAAAGGATTTGGATTCCATGAAAGGCACCCCATCAACACCCACGGAAGCCCATGGGACAGGGCCAGAGTTTGCAGCCACTCTCATGCCTGTCACAGGGTGTAGCTCACCTCTCCACTCTGTGTCTGGGCCGGCCTTGTCTGCTGCTTTCACCAAGAGAATGCAGCGGGAGCGAAGTTGTGTAGCCTCAGAGCTTGGACCTTCAGCCTTGCAGCTTCCACCTCATCCTCTCAGAACACCTGTGGCCACCGTGGGCTGAAGAAGCCCAGGATGAAAGACCACGTGGCGGGAGAGAGCCCCAGGTGTCCTAGATGAGCTCACCCCCAGCTGACCCACCTGTTGACTGCACACAGGCAAGACCTGCTAACAACAGCCCAGTCAACCCACAGGATTGTGAAATCACATGCCAGTGTTGCTTTAAGGCACTAAGTTGTGGGGTGGTTTGTTAGCAACCATAAATAAGTGGTACAGAGCTCAGGTAACACAGCTTGCTAACTGTATAGCTGAGGAACTAGAGGTAAAGTGATTTATTAGGTCCTTAAAGGCAGAATTAAGATAGAACCCCACAGGCCGGCACAGTGGGTCACGCCTATAATCTCAGCACTTTGGGAGGCCAAGGCAAATGGATCACCTGAGGTCAGGAGTTCGAGACCAGCCTGGTCAACATGCTGAAACCCCATCTTGACTAAAAATACAAAAAATTAGCTGGGTATGGTGGCAGGCACCTGTAATCCCAGCTACTCCAGAGGCTGAGGCAGGAGAATCACTTGAACCTGGGAGGCAGAGGTTGCAGTGAGCCAAGATGGCGCCACTGCATTCCAGCCTGGGTGACAGAGCGAGACTCGGTCTCAGAAAAAAAAAAAAAAAAAAAAAAAGATAAAGCCCCACAATAAAACCAGTGGCTTCTTTAGCACAGATCCTGGGTCTTGGTACAGACAGAACAATGTCTGTGCTAAAGAAGCCACTGGGAATTGTGGGGTTGGCATCCACTGTGCCCTGAAAGGATGGGTAGCCAGCAGGAACCAGAGCCAGGTAGGGGGGGAGAATGTTCCAGCTTGAGGCTACAGGGTCAGCCCCTCCCCATTCCCTGACTTAGCAAAGTACCCAGGCGACCTCCAGGTGAGTGTATGGGGGGGGCGTTGAGGGGTGACAGGAAAAGAGCCTGTCTAAATGTGTTAGGGGCCCTTCCACCTTATGTGTGGCCTGAGCTTAGAGGTTCACAAATGGAAGAAACATCAGAGAGCAGCCTGAGGACCTCCTGATGGCCTGAGCTTCCACTGAGAGGCTGCAGAACTGGAGTGGTGCTCCACAGCTGTCCCCTTGTTGAGGGAAGGGGGTCCTCCAAAGCCCCATATCTGCCATAGCCACCACCCTGGGCTGCTTAGCCAGCGAAGCCACACAGGCCTTAGGTGGAGGAAGGGGGATGGATAGGGGACACTCAATGATAAGGGAAGGAAAAGGGGAAGGAAGAAGGGAAAAGGGAGAAAGAAAAAAAACCCAGGGAGGGCTCCTGAAGCATCCCTCCTCCCCCAGACCTCGGTGGATCTGCTTGATGCCCGCCAGCTAAGGAGGAGGAGGATGAAGGGTCATGTGTGGGGCTTGGAGCAGCCACCCGTCCTCTCCAGTCCATGCCTGGTCCTTCTCTCTGGGCCATAGCAGAAGGTTCTCCCCCAACTTTGACCACTCCAACCACTCGTCTCTCCCTGTGTCCCAGGATGGTGGAGGCAAGTCCTCAAAACTCAAATCTAGCACTCCCGCTCTTACAAAAATGTGACGTCCTCTTGGCCTCTGCAAGCCATTTGCACAGCACATTTTAGATGTTTTTCCCCCAGAATTGGGGACACCTGTACTATCATGTAGTGTTTTTCTTTTAAATGACTCACTTTTTGACTTAAATAAATGTATTGAAGTCATTCTAAGCAATAATACCCATGACATTGTGGGTTTGATGTGCTGTTTATAGTTTTCCCCAATGTGCATTAAAATAATTACATAACTGAGAAATGTAAATGTTCCTTGTGTGCCACTTAAAACCATCCCACTGACTGTACTTCACTCTGAAACCGTATTGAGAGCACACCAGTCAGAATACTTGAGTCGCAAGAAACAGGAACTGAGTCTCTGATTATCGTAAGTAAAAAGAGATGTTATAGAAGGCTGAGGGGGGTGGGGAAGGCTGTAGTCTCACAGGAGAGGGAAGAAGGCAGAGGTCCAGGCTCACAAAGGACAAGGCCAGCAGGTCTGGCCAGGTGTGGAGGGACCTCAGAGACTGGACTGCAGCCCACCGGGGTGCAGGAACTAGATGAATGATAGCCAGGCATTTTCTGTCTCTACATCACTCTGCAATTCAAATTCCAGCAAGGGAATTCCCATCAGCCTGCTTGGATCCCATGCCCACCCCTTGAATGTGATTATGGAATGGATTCTGCCCCATCAAAAAACTGCTGTTCAAAAATCAAAGACTGCATGTTCTCACTCATAGGCGGGTGTTGAACAATGAGAATACATGGACACGGGGAGTGGGAAACATCACATACTGGGGTCTGTGGGGGGAATTAGGGGAGGGACCGTGGGGGGTGGGGAGTTGGGGAGGGATAATACAGGGGGAAATGCCAGATATAGGTGATGGGGAGGAAGGCAGCAAATCACATTGCCATGTATGTACCTAGGCAACAATCTTGCATATTCTTCACATGTACCCCAGAACCTAAAACGTGATTATATATATATATATATATATATATATATATAAAATAAATAAAAATAAAAAAACAGCTTTTTCACATGGGTGACTCCTGTAAGAGATGGCCTCACTGAACTCCATCAAACATTTAAGAAAGAAATAACACGAATTTTATAGACTCTCTCTCATGAAGAGGAAACATTTCCCAATTTAATTTATGAACTGTGTTACTCCATTCTCACACTATTATAAAGAAACACCTGAGACTGGATAATTTATAAAGGAAGGAGGTGTCATTGAGTCACAGTTCCACATGGCTCGGGAGGCCTCAGGAAACTTACAAAAAAAAAAAAAAAACACAAAAAAGAAAAGAGGACTCGTTTCCTCTTGACTGAAAATAGCCTCTGTAACAATGTTCACGGATAGAGTAGTTCACAACTTCACATGGAAGATGGAAATAATTTTGTGTCTATTGGGCAAATTTGGTTCTTTTGGGGGATTTTCATGTTCATTTATTTCATGTTGGAGCTTCTTAGAAGGAAGGATAAGCAATAGAGGAAATTAATAGCATTATAATTTTCTAGATTTTAAAAATACTATTCAAACACATGAGAAATGCTGTCATCATCACAATCTACTGATTACCTGAACCCAAAAGAAAGTCCTTCTGGTTCATTCAAAGACCAGTTGGACTCCTCCTGCTTTGACTCGAAAGCTCAGAGCCAAATTTTGGCCCGCTGTTGATGTGTGGTTTTTAACCTTGTTTTTAGATAGCCATACTTGTTTTTTATTTTTTACATCACTACTTCCAAAACTCTACCCACTTTCTCTTATGCAATGTATTTTGCTTTTGGAATCTCAAAAGCTACCTTAAATATGACACAAAACAAGCTGAGCAATGTAGTGATGATGATAATGATGATGGTGATGAAGATGATAATTTGCATACAGAGACCCAACAGGATGAAATGGGTCAGTTTTGGTCAAAGCTCCATAAGAGTCAATAGATGTCAAGGACTCCCACATTTCACAGGGTGGTATAGACCCCTCATACAAGACTTGCAAATTCACTGCAGTCTTGACCTCCTGGGCTGAAGCAATCCTTCTTCCTCAGCCTCCCAAGTAGCTGGAACCAGAGGTGCACATCACCATGCCCGGCTAATCTTTAAAAAATTTTTGTAGACAAGGGGTAGCATTATGTTGCTCAGGCTGGTCTCAAACTCCTAAGCTCAAGTGATCCTCCAGCCTCAGCCTCCCAAAGTGGAAATATGTGGGTTGTTTTGTTTGTTTTTATGAGTCCTCAGGATTCCTACTTTTTCAATACGACAGTTCCACAAACTCACATCTTAACAGATCTTAACCATCACAGAACTAATTCTTCACACAACACTGGTCACTGGGTCCACAGAAGCAAGTCTACATGATTTCCACAAGAAAGCCTATCACTGAACTAATGGAAGCATTTCCTTGAGAGTGGACCATAGAATTATTCTAACTTTAGCAAATTCTACTCCATCCAGAAACCTGGAGTCCCCCTAGGCATCTTTGGATTTTGTTGTCTTGATGTGGAAGCTTTCTGGCTTTTCTCTTGTTCTACGTTCGGCTAACACTGGTCTTTTGAGGCTCTAAGGACAGGACAGCTGCTTCCCCTTTCTCATAAAACGTGCTGACAGAGGCCACTGCCCAGGGGCTGTCAGGTAGGTGTGGAGTTTGAATAGGGAATGGTAAGAAAGAAAATGGAATATAGAATGGTGGTGGGCCCGGCAGCAGGGAACTCCAGCATGTAAACATGAGGAAAGCGTGAAAGAGCCTGACTAGTAATCAAGCCAGAAATAAAGTGGTGAGGGCCTTGCCTGACTTCTTTATAGACAGGGAGGTTAAACAGCCCTGCTCCTCCATGAAATGTGGTAGCTAAATGTGGCGCTCTCAGGGGGAACCAACCCACTTTACCTAATTGCCAAACACTTCAAGATTGGGTCTTTCTACGTCTCTTTAATGATAGGTTGTAATGAATGTTCAATACATTAACTGATGTGGTAGGAAGAACGGGATTGTGCAATTTAAAGCGAGTGGGACGAAACTCTACCAGATCAATGCACTCTCAGCTAAATGTTTTTATTATAATTACAGGAAAACTAACAGATTAAAGTAATTGATTCAAAATAAGAAACTATTTCTTAGTTTCCTGAGGTTATGGCTTTTAGAACACTGTCTTTTCTGAAAATCAAAACACAGCAAATGAGATTGTTTTTTCCTCCACTGTTTAATTATTTTTCCTTCACCTCTGGGATCATCATGCCTGACAGCTAGAAAATGAGAGATCAAGGCATCCTAGGGCTCCTTATTAATTCTACACACCAAAATTTTCCAAATAACCCTGTGTGACATACAGCTGACCATAAATATTTTAGTCTGGGAAATGTATATACTTAATGTTAAATTTATGGCTTAGGAATAAGCTGGCTCTCCACTCCTTATGCTTTTGTTCCCAGAAATTCCTAAAGATAGATGTTGCAGAAGGATTTTTTAGAAAGAAATATTTGTTAACAAGTTATCAACCCAAGAAAGAAATAGCCAAAAGGTTTGAGCATATACCAGTGACCAAATCAGTTTCCCATATCTGGAAATTTCCCCCATAGGAGAGCAGAGTCCACAACCTGCTGGAGATGCCAAAGGGGAGCCAACGCTACATTCCCGGACTCCTCTGCACCCAGGCCCAGCCTGTGCCCTCCGTCTGGCTAGTGAGCCATGCAGGGACGGGGGCAGACGAGAATCCAGTCTGACAGTGGCAGCAGTGGCAGCTGAGCGTCCGTGCTGCAGTGCCTCTGCTTCCACTGTTCTCCAAACCTGGCTTGCCTGCCTTCCTAGCGATTCCCAGAGTTGTCCAGAAATTCTCCTTCTACTTAGTCAGCATGAGTCAGTTTCTGTTGCATGCAACGAAGAATCCTGATTTGGACAGTATTAAACTGTGATTCACACAGTGGAGAGAGACTGTGCTTAAATAAGATGCCAGGCCTCAAATGTGCCTCAGTTTCCTGACTAAAATATGGAGCTGCTAACACTAGCTCTGTTTCACTGAATTCTTGAAAAAAAAAACTGTAAAAATCCCAAATCCTTTGGAATTGTTAAGTGACATGGACAAAACAAGGGTGCGTACATGTTTTTGAACCAGCTTATTTTACTAAAAGAAATGCAAATTTCAACGTCAGAGAAGAAAAATAAATTCCATGCAGAAATGCTGTTCCATGTCCATGTTCCAGTCTCTCCAGGCAGTAGGTGGGAATCCAGCCTACACGACAGCCTGTTTGAATTTTTCTGCTCCCAGGAGCTACCTGGAAGCAAAAAAGAGTTTATTCACAAACTCACCAATGCCATCTAAGGTTTTGAAAAGCATTCCACTTAGCCATAATTTCACATCATGTGTGTCACAACTTCTGTGAGCTTCCTGTCCTGTATTTAAGCCACTGAGATAAATACAGGACCTTGGTCTCAAGAATTATCTGTGCAAGTCGTTTTCTTCTCACCACCTGCAACCTCCAATCAGGGCATCTGAGGCAGAGGCTAGGGACATGCTGATTGTGTCACAAAGAATGATCTCAGAAGAAGGAAAAGCAGCAGACACAAAGAAACCCAGCATCAGAGGCACATTCTTGAAAGTAAACGTCACTTAAAGAGGGAAAATTTTTTAAAACGTGCAGTGTATCTGGAGAATATTCCTTAATTATGACTGTCTTTTTAAGGTTGGGCAACATACTGAGACTCTATTTCTAAAAAAAAAAAAGAGAAGAAAACTTTTCTGATTAGCCTGGCATGGTGGCACATACCTGCAGTCCCAGTTACTTGGGAGGCTGAGGAAAGAGATCGCTTGAGCCCAGGATAAGACTGCAGTGAGCCATGATTACACCACTGTACTCCAGCCTGGGTGACAGAGTGAGACTCTGTCTTAAATAAAAATTTTAAAAAGGGCTGGGCACTATGGCTTATGCCTGAGGTCGGGAGTTCAAGACCAGCCTGACCAACATGGAGAAACCCCATCTCTACTAAGAATACAAAATTAGCTGGGCATAGTGGCACATGCCTATAATCCCAGCTACTCAGGAGCCTGAGGCAGGAGAATCGCTTGAATGCGGGAGGTGGATGGAGGTTGCAGTGAGCTGAGATGGTGCCACTGCACTCCAGCCTGGGTGACAAGAGGGAAACTGTCTCAAAAAAACAAAAAAAGACTTTCTTTTTAGTCTTATAATGTCAAGATGCCCACAGACTTTAGAGAATATCACATGCTTTCATTTGCTAATCTGTCCAACAGTATCATGTCCCCTCTCACTGCAAATGTGTTGGAGACAATGAACAAGAGATTGTCAATGGGCTGACACCAAGGAGAAGGAAAAGAGCCCCCAGAAGCTCTGGGGCATTTAACCCAACAAGCTGCTCTGAACAGTGAATGTTTTCCTGCTGGTGTCAATGACTTGGAAAGTCAATTCCATCCAGGTAGCCTTTTTCATCAGTTATGATACTCTGAATTCATCTTCTTTTCACACCTGCAGCTTAGAGAAAATTCTGTGAATCAGTCTGTCACCCACTTGCCTGCACAAGTCTCCAACAGGCACAGATGTGGCTGCGGCCAGCCAACCTACAGCAAACCCAGAGATTCGTCTTAGGGGAAAGTGCTCCTGAGAGAATATCAAAATCTGGGCACACCTAAGGGAGACCTGCAGACCTCTGTCTTCATGAGCCTGGCACCTCTTATGGGAAACAGAGAGCAGGGAAAAGAAGACTGTTCTCCAACTCTGCAGGCTGTTTGTCCATTCTCCCACACTCCTGGAGGGAGGGCCCAGTACACACAGCTCACCAAGTGCTTGTAGAATTCCCAGGAAAGAAGATAGTCAGTGAGGAGGGCCCAGCTCCGACCTTGCCCCACAGCACAGAAGCGTCCAGTCAGAAATGGCTCCCCTTCAGGACTGTGCAGGGGCCTGTGGTGCCCCAGCTCCCAGGGTAGGGAAGTTAGGCACCTCAGGTGTGCCCTCAGCCTCCCATGCCCTTCACCTGGGGCACAGTGAAAGGCCTCTGCTTGATCAGCGATGGACAGTTTTTTTGCACAGTTTCTAAGTGTGTGCATCCAGGTGTGGTGGCTCACACCTGTAATTCCAGCACTTTAGGAGGCTGAGGTGGGCAGTCAGGAGTTTAAGACCAGCCTATCCAACATGGTAAAACCCTGCCTCTACTAAAAATGCAAAAAAATTAGCCAGGTGTGGTGGTGCGCACCTGCAGTCCCACCTATTTAGGAGGCTGAGGCACAAGAATCGCTTGAACCCAGGTGGCAGAGGTTGCAATTAGCCGAGATCACGCCACTGCACTTCAGCCTGGGTGACAGAGCAAGACTCTGTCTCAATTAAAAATTAAATTAAATTAAAAATAAACAAAAATAAATAAATAAATATGTGCAACCCCCTGAGCTTCAGCCACTGCAAGTTCAAATGTCATCTGCTCTGCCTAGCTAGTGGGGAAGTGGAGGGGGATGGTGCAGACCTTGGCTCGCCCGCCACACCCAGTGTGGTTCTGCAAGTTCTATTCTATACAGTGCATCCATAACTCATTCTCCTGAGCCAAAGCACGAAGAATGAACTCTTCAGAGACTTTCTACAATTTGCGTTAGTATGTTTCAAAATTATTCCTAGATGAGACACAACTTTATTACCAGGTCTAGCTGCCCTTTCGAATTCTAATACTGTCATATTCTGTGCATCCCACGAGGCCCCTTTCCTGACAAAGATATTTACCTTAGATGTGTGTAACTTCCAGGAGTCTAAAATATGATCATAAAGCTATTAGCTAACACAGGGGCTTTTAGCTTCTTCAAAGCAGAATTCACATCATTAATAAGTCTTTTAGAATATTCATCTTTGCATAACTTTTCTTTATCCCCCTATGTGTGGAGAACTTATAGACTATATCTTGTATCCATCGAGGACCCCCACAGAAATGAGGCCTATGTGACATTTTGTTAGCCCCATTAGATGGAGGGGGAGAAAAAGCAAGTTAATATTCTTAGAAGGCATGTAATGGTCTAAAGCTTTGGCCAGGCGCAGTGCCTCACATCTGTAATCCCAGCACTTTGGGAGGCCGAGGTGGGGCGGATTACTTGAGGTCAAGAGATCAAAACCATCCTGCCAACATAGTGAAACCCTGTCTCAACTAAAAATACAAAAATTAGCTGGGCATGGTGGCACACACCTGTAATCCCAGCTACTCAGGAGGTTGAGGCAGGAGAATCACTTGAACCCGGGAGGCAGAGGTTGCAGTGAGCTGAGATCACACCATTGCACTCCAGCCTGGGAGACAGAGCAAGACTCCGTCTCAAATATAAAAATAACAATTAAAAAAAATAGTCCAAAGCTTTTCCTTCTGAAGCCTTGCCCTTAGCAAGAGGAAAGTCAGGCTCCTTAGTGTCTTCTCATAGGGCTCACTGCTGCCTTGAGAGGCTAGAAGACTGTTGCTCTTCTAGAAACCAACCCTGAGAAGTCCCTCTCAGATTCAGGGTTGGTCTAGACAGTGGCTCTGAAACTTGAGCACCTGTCAGAACCATCCAGAGGTCTTGCTTTTTGAAATACAGATTACTGGGCCCTGCCAGAATTTCTGGTTCTGTAGGTCTGGGTCCTGAGAATCTGCATTTCTAACCAGTTTCTAGGGATGCTGATGCCGCTGGTTTGGGGACCATACTCTAGAACCACTGAGGCACTGTTTTAGGACACTCTAAGGGAGCCAATATACAAAGGCTCCTACCGGTCTCCAAGCCCAGCTGCTCCTCAGGTCTATGGCCCTCAGACCCCAGCTGGAATGCACTGAGCACCTGCTCCTTAGGAGCTCAACTTTCCCAAGACCTCAAGCCAACTGCTGTCCATGAGGCTTCTCCCTTACCGCAAGAACAGGTCCTCACTGCCACCCCCTCACCCGGTTTTCCCCCTACTGAGATCAGCAACGTAATTTGTGAGACCCAGTGTAAAATGAAACCGTGGGGCCTCTCTTTGAAAAATTAAGAGTTTCAATACAGCGACAGTGGAGCATTAGAGCAAGCATGGGCCGTTCTCCCCAGGGCTTGGCCCCTGGGCGTCTGCAATTCAGAGCAGTGAGTGCTGATTCTTTCTGGGCCCCAGCCTCCTGTCTCCCTCAGGTTTTCTTTTCTGTTTTTGTTGTTGTTTTTCAGACGGAGCCTCACACTGTCGCCCGGGCAGGAATGCAGTGGCACGATCTCGGCTCACTGCAACCTCTGCCTCCCAGGTTCAAGCGATTCTCTGCCTCAGCCGCCCGAGTAGCTGGGATTACAGGTGCCCACCACCACACCTGGCTAATTTTTGTATTTTTAGTAGAGATGGGGTTTCACCATGTTGGCCAGGCCAGTCTCAAACTCCTGACCTCAAGTAATCCACCCCACCTCGGCCTCCCAAAGTGCTGGAATTACAGACGTGAGCCACCGTGCCTGACCTCCCTCAGGTTTTCATATAAGAATCCATCCTCCCTCTGCGTCAAGCCCCTCCTTGACTCTATAACTTCTGCCCCTCAAGAAAAGGGTACTGGTATGATATGTTTGGAGGAAATGTTAAATACCTGTTAAATGCAGCAATTTCACTCTAAGAGATTTATTCTTCAGTGGATAGATTCCCTGAAGTGCTCTCCCAGTGCTCAAAGCCTATTCACTGTTACAGTGCTTGTAATAAGAAAAAATCAAAATAACAACAGCTTAACTGTCTCTCAATAGTAGTTAAAGAATGAGGCAGATTTATAGGTAATAATAAGGAAGTATAGCAATATCTAGTAAGTATCAAAGGCAAGTTGAAAACGTTGAGGCGTGTGTGTGTGTACATGAACAGAAAAACAATTCAGGAAACCTGAACAAAAAATTGTTAGCCATCGCCACTGGGAATTTTCGCTTTATAGTTTATGCACTCTACGTTTTTAAAATTCTTATTACCTATTATTTCTGAGTATGTGTAGAATTAAAAAATACTTCAGATCTTAACCAAAGCTGTTTTCATCCAGAAACATTGGCCAGCAGTGAGGGCTGCCCCAAACCCCTACCCTGTTCCTTCACCCCTTCCCCTCTTACCCCATCAAGGTCTCATTCCTGACATTTTCCACCCCCTACTGCCACAAAGCCTCTCGAGTACCTGATCTAAGCCTGAGTGCAGATGAATTTGTTGCATCTGAAATATGTTGTTCTCCCCAGAAATCGGCTATGAAAATCTAATTAAAAAACAGAAAGGAGGAGAAGCATTTATGAAATTTCTTTTCTTTTTTTTTTTTTGAGATGCAGTCTTGCTGGTCGCCCAGGCTGGAGTGCAAAGGCATGATTTTGACTCACTGCAACCTCTGCCTCCCAGACTCAAGCAATTCTCCTGCCTCAGTCTCCCAGGTAGCTGGGATTACAGGCAGTCACTATAACACCCAGCTAAATATCAAATATATATATATATATATGTATGTATGTATATATAATATTTTTGGTAGAGAAGAGGTTTCACCATGTTGGCCAGGCTGGTCTCGAACTCCTGATCTCAGGTGACCCACCCACCTTGGCCTCCCAAAGTGCTGGGATTATAGGCATGAGCCACTGCACTGGCCAAAATTTCTTTTAGATCTTTTGCCTTATTAATTTTTTCACCCTGAGATAGCAGATGTATTCTTACTTTCACATTTAGACTTTGGATATGGACTAGGGTACCCACTCGACACCTCAAAGACAGAGTTCCAAGGGAGACTCCAAGCCTAATTTTTATCTTGACTAAACAGCGGCTTAACACAGAGGCTTATTCTTCACTGAACTAGGCTCAATGTGTATGTTCCTTGGTGGTATTTTTAAATTTTACACATACGGCTGGGCACGGTGGCCCAGGCCTGTAATCCCAGCACTTTGGGAGGCAGAGTGGGGGTGGATCATGAGGTCAGTAGATCAAAACCATCCTGGCCAGCATGGTGTAACCCCGTCTCTACTAAAAATACAAAAATTAGCCAGGTATGGTGGTGGGCGCCTGAAGTCCCAGCTACTTGGGAGGCTGAGGCAAGATAATTGTTTGAACCCAAGAGGTGGAGCCTGCAGTGAGCCGAGATCATGCCACTGCTCTCCAGGAGCCTGAGTGACAAAGGGAAACTGTCTCAAAAAAAAAAAAAAAAATCTACACATACCTAGAAATAATGTGAGATAATAAAAATGTTAAAAATTTAGAGTGTACAAACTGCAAAGTGAAAATTTCAGGTGGTGAATAACCAGCCCTCTGCTTGGTCAACCAGGGCCCCAGACGCCCCCATTTTTGGGGCTCTGCTTCCCCTCTGGGTCTTCGGCACAGAGAAAAGGAAAGACCACGGAAGACCAGGGAGGTTTTATGGACCAGACCTGAAAAAGAGATCCCATTCCTCCTGCCAGACTGGGAAGAATGGGGTAGTAGACAAAATAAGGGCTCCCAAAAATGTCCATGTCTTCATCCCCATACGAACTTGTGAGCATGTTGCCTTAAGTACCAAAGGGACCTTTGCAGGAATGATTAAGGTGGAGTCTTAATATGAGATGATACTTGGTTATACAGGTGGGGAAAGAGAGCCAAAAAAAACCACAAAAACAAAACAAACAAAAACAAGAAGATGTGAAGATAGAAACAGGTTGGAGTGACTGTCCTTGAAAACAGAAGAAGGAGCTACACTCCAGGAATGCAAGTGGTCTCCTGAAACTGGAAACAACAAAGAAAGGGATTCTCCCCTGAAGTCCCCATGAGAAAGCAGCTCTGCCAGCACTTTCAGACTTCTGACCACCAAGAGCTGGAAGAAAACAAATGTATGTTGTTTCAAGCCACTACGTTAGTCGTAGTTACAGCAGCCACAGGACAAGTGGTCCAGCCACGTGCCAAGGAAGAAAAGGCAGCAGAATTTGGTAACTAACGGCACCCTTTTTCTCCACAGGTGAATCCATCCCATCCCCTCTGCTACAGCCAGCTCTGTCACTTTCATGCTGGGATGTTACTACCATTCTACCATATTACTACCTGTGGCCTTTTACCTGGCCTGGCTTTGGCAGCCCTCACACTGGTGTCTTCACCAGTCTGCACTAGAGTGGTTCTCCTAAATTATATGTCAGATCACATCATTCCTTTGCTTAAAAGCCCCTTGTGGCTCTTACAGAAGAAAGTCCACAATTCTCAGCCTGGCATTCCAAGTCCTCTGTAATGTGGCTCCTGTCTGTCTTGTCATCCTTACCCCTCAACCATCATTGCTCCGGTGAGGATGAAATGCTAGGGTGCTAAGTGGAGTAGATGCCGCCAGACAGGGGTCAAAGGGGCTTGGGAGGGTGCTAGCAGTCCCGGGCTTCTCTCCTTCCTCCCACTCAGCTTCACCTCAGGCACCACCTCCAGTCAAGAGAGAGAAAGCCAGGGAAAGGATTCCAGATGTGAGGAAGGGTTGGAGAAAAGATGACTTATATACCAATAAACACAATCCAAAGGAGCTTGTTCAAAGTCTAAATCATTAAAAGTACAAGCCCAAACAAATTGTTATTGATTCCCTTGGTTACCAAATTCCTTAGCATGCCAGGCTGGAAAGTCATCCACAGCAAGCTGCATTCATTGATGTTCTTGGTGTGAAAATGAATCCACAATACTCCCAGTGAGGAAATGGCCTGGGATGGCCAAGAGGGAGACTAAGGAACTTTCAGAGATTCCAACCCCTGCTGGTAGCTGATGAGTTGATGAGCATAATAAAGACACGCGCTCAAGGAAAACTTCAGGGGAGGCAGAGTGGTGTCCAATGTCATGCCCACCGGCCTTTCTGAGCCCAGCGCTTCCTCCTCCAGTCCCATTACTCCCCAGGTAATGCCCCAAACTTTGGCTGTGACTTATGCTCCATGCCCTCTCCTTTTCTAAGTCCTGTTCTTTCTAAATGACAAAGGACTGCAAGTCAGTTAATGATTAATATTACAGAATTATAGACTCTTAGGTTTTAAGTAATTTTTGGAAAAATTGTGGAAAAGAACAGAGTGTAGGGAAAAATCAACTGTAAAGTCTACTAACCTACTACTATCATTTTTCTATACTCCACCTTAAACATTTTTCCATATGCATATTTTAACATAATATCATAAATACAGTTTTGCAACCAGCTGCATAGTCCTCCCAGGCATCATTTAATAGCCCCATAATATTCCTTCCAGTACATTCTTAGCAATCTTACAAAGTGCTCCCCATTTTTGGATGTTAGAGCTATGTCTACTGTTTTACAATTTTCAAATAAGCTCTGATGCATGCCTTTTTCTGTATTTTAAAAATTGTTTCCTGCCAGGTATGGTGGCTCACACCTATAATCCTAGAACTTTGGGAGGCTGAGGCGGGAGGATTGCTTGAGCCCAGTAGTTTGAGACCAGCCTGAGCAACACAGGGAGACCTTATCTCTACAAACAAACAAAACAACTGCAAAATTTAGTCGGGTGTGGTGGTACATGCCTGTGGTCACAGCTACTCAGGAGGCTGAGGTGGGAGAGTCATTTTAGCCAGGGGAGGTCTAGACTGCAGTGAGCTGTGTGTGCCACCAAACTCCAGCCTAGGCAAGAGTAAGACCTGTCTCAAAAAAAAAAAATTATTTCCTTAGACCAGATTTCTAAAAGTAGGATTTCTGGGTCAAAGCGTATGAAAAGATTTAAAGCATGATACATTTAGTCAAATTGCATTGAAAACGCTATACCAATTTAAAGTGCAGTGCACAGAGAAAAAGAGTATGTCATTGAAGTATTTTTTCATTTCATATTAGTGTTTAACAATCATTTTAAATATATGTTCGGCACTTTAATTAGCAAGAGGAAAAAACAAAACAAACAGCTATGTGGGGGTTGGAATGAACTTCAGATGCCTGGCAGTTCCCAAATGTGGCTGCACATCAGAATTACCTGAAGAGTCTTTTAATAATATGAGTTCCACTAAAGCTTCTTGGAGAAATGGTTGTTTTAGGTCTGGAGTAAAAAATGTACAAGATGTGCCTGAAGAATTTGTCATTTCAGAAAACAAGCTATGAAAGACCTAAGGGACTTCAAGAGCCAACCTGAAGAGGCTCTCATTGGCCAAAGAGAGGAATTCTAAGGATAAGAATTGTGGCGGATTAAAGCACATCAAATACATTAAAATCCATGAGGTTACAATAATACTAGAAATAATAATAAAACTTTAGTGGTCACTTTAGAGAACAGTATTAATATCCCAGCATGAAAATGACATTGAAAACTGGAAAATAAAGGAGAAAAATCAAGCATTGAGGCTGCCTTTCTTACATGAACTGTACTGTGGAGTAAGTCAATAGTAGGTGAGGAAGTTTCTCTGTACTATCATCAAGTAATAGGGAAAAAGAAATGATAAATTTAGGAATCACCAGTTGTGAACCTAATGAATTGGGGAGCTCAGGCAATGATGATCCGTGGCTATAAATGTCACAGAGACATAAGCAGACATTATGTGGCCCTGAAGAAGTGCGTATCATCTATGAAGTAGTCGCCAAAATTTTTGAACCTAAATCTGATCAAACTTCTAATCAAATTACTGATCTACAGAAAATAAACCTGGGGAGGGGGGCAGTGGGTATGGTTTTCAGCAAAATCCAGACTCTGGAAAAGTCTTGTTGACAAACCACCCAGTCTCTGTAACAAGTTTAAAGGGTGAAAAAAAATGAAACTGAGGGACACCAATAGGTTAAAAGTCACTTAAGAGATATATTAACCAATCATAATGCATGGGATTTATTTGAAAGACTTCAAACAAACTGGAAAAAACAAAACAAAACAAAACAAAACAAAACAAAACAAAAAAACCCTGTAAGACAATTGTGGATTTGAGAACAAACACTGATAGGATTTTGATAATATTAAGTACCCACTGTTAATTTTTCTGGTGCTTAATGGTATCACGGATACTTTTAAGTCTATGTCTTGTAGAGAAACATACAAAAATATATACAATTAAAATAAGTATTATGCAATTTTATTTATTTATCTAGAGACGGAGTCTCGATCTCTCTCCCAGGCTGGAGTGCAATGGTGCGATCTCAGCTCATCGCAACCTCCGCCTCCTGGGTTCAAGCAATTCTCCTGCCTCAGCCTCCCAAGTAGCTGGGATTACAGGTGCGTGCCACCACGCCCAGCTAATTTTTGTATTTTTAAGAAGAGACCGGGTTTCACCATGTTGGTCAGGCTGGTCTCGAACCCCTGACCTCATACAAGATCCATCCGCCTCAGCCTCCCAAAGTGCTGGGATTACAGGTGTGAGCCACTGTACC